GAGGAGGAGGAGAGCTTTAACAGACCGCCTTCTGACAGCGTCAGACTCTCTCCCTTGGAAGCAAAGGGATCCCCTCCACCACCCTCCAGATCTCTAACCAAAAATCTCCGACAAATGACAGTACTTGCCCATAGGGAATCATTGGGGAATGTTTGCCCATAGAGAATCATTGGGGAATACTTGGTCATAGGGAATCATTGGAGAATGCTTGCCCATAGAGAATCATTGGAGAATGCCTGCCTATAGGGAATCATAGGGGAATACTTACCTATAGGGAATCATAGGGGGATACTAGTATTTCCCTGTGATTCTCCATGGGCAAGTATTGTGAAATAGTTGCCTATAGAGAATCATTGGAGAATGCTTGACCATAGAGAATCATAGGGGAATACTTGCCTATAGGGAATCATAGGGGGATACTAGTATTTCCCTGTGATTCTCCATGGGCAAGTATTCTCCAATGATTCTCTATAGGCATTCCCTTATGATTCCCTATGGGCAAGTATTCCTCAATGATTCCCTGTAGGCAAGTATATGAGCAAGTACTGTCATTTGTTTTAGTACGTCCCCACAGCTTCTTCTTGTTTTTGTTGTTGTTTTGGACCTTCAATTTCTGATTTATGGTGACTCTCAGCTGAACCTGTCATGGGGTTTCCTTGGCAAGATTGGTTCAGAGGTTGTTGTTGTTTTGCTATGAGCATCCTCTGAGGCTGAGAGAGTGTGACTTGCCCAAGGTCACCTTTCCATGACTGACCTGGGGATTGAACCCTGGTCTCTTCCAGATATCACCCTACACACTTTGTATGGTGTTATTATTCCACTTTAACTGCAATGACTGGATCCTGTGGGATCCTGGGATTTGTAGTCCAAGGAGAGGCGTTTAGAATTTTTAGCCAGAGAACTTTTTTAGACTTTGATCAACAGCAAACCCCATAATCCCACAGGAGGCAGCCATCATGGTTAAAGTGGAATAAGAGCGCTCTAAAAGTGCAATGTGATGTTGTCCATAAGGCAACCCAACCTCCAGGTTTTCGCAGCAAGATTGGTTCAGAGGAGGTTTGCCATTGTTTTCCTCTGAGGATGAGAGAGTGTGACTTGCTCAAGGTCACCCAGTGGGTTTCCACGGCCGAGCTGGTCTTCAGGGTGCGTAAGGCAATCCAATCATGGGATTTCCTGGGCAAGATTTGTTCAGAGGCAGGGTGACTGGAAGTCCTCCTTTTCCAGGAACCTGCCCTCCATTTCAGCCTTCTGTCCAGGAGGAATTCCCAAATGTCCTCCATTTGCAGCAGGACTAAGAAGCATGCATTTATTTCTCTGTGAGTGGTTTTAGCTTTTGTTTGGTCCCATCTCCATTTGTCTTGAAGGTCCTACATTATTTTTTTTGGTGGGGCCTTGTCCCCCTTTGAGGTTAGGACATTCTGTATCAGAGGAAGTTTTGCCATGGCCTTTCCCTGAGGCTGAGAGAGAGTGATTTGGCCCAAATCAGTCAGTGAGTTTCCATGGCTGAGCCAGAATTTGAACCCTGGTCTCCAGAGCTGAACACTCTAACCATGCAGAGGTGAAGCAATCCTGCATTTCCGAGCACTGAAGACTGACTGTGGGAGGCAAGTGATATCCACAGCCGCCCAGGCAGTCAGCCTTTCCTGAACAGTCAACAGGATCTCCTCCTTTGCCAAAAATTGCAAACAGCTGAAGTTGGGCCAAAATCCTCTCTGAACTAGCTTGGAGAGGATCGAAGGAGAGGGATAGGTTGCTCAAGGGACCACCCTTACGGATCCAGAGTGACCAGACGTCTATAACCACAAAGGAGGACAAGGCACCACAAAATGGAAGACATTGCAGAAAAAATGGGGGACATTCCAAAACAAAAGCTAAAAACACTCTCATAAATATAAATCCATGCTTCTTTGTCATGCTCCGTATGGAGGACATTTGGGAATTCCACTCGGACAGAAGGTTGAAATGGAGGATGTATCCTGGAAAGGGAGGACCTCTGGTCACCCTGTGTGGATCTCTTCTTTTAGAAAATGTGTGAAGGGTTTTACCCACCGCATTTGGGCAATCTGTGTCAAGCCCTGAGAACCTTAAGGTCTCAGCTGCACTGCAAGCAACAAAAAGAGGAGTGACCCACAATTCCAACCATCCAAGAACTATGGAAAGGCCAGCAAAACTAAAGGGGATAAGATGTGGGATTTTTTGGTATGTCTGAACTACTCATTCCCTGTTTCGATTTTCCTGCACTGCAACCTCCACCTGTCATTTCTCTCATAAGATAAATTGTATTGATCAATCTAATTAGGCTCCATGCTCTGAAATCC